GAGCCGCATGGCGCCGGCGTCGTCGAGGCGGTTGCCGCGGAGTGAAAGGTCCTCCAGAGCCGCCCAGGGCGCCGCCGCCGCCGCCGCCGCCGCCGCTGGGCAGGGGGTGCCGGCGGCCTGCTGCTGGTTGCGGCCGGGCGGCTGCGGCGCACGCCCGAGCAGGCCGCTGCCAGGGGGCCCCGAGGGAAACAGCGCTGCGACCTCTTCTGCCCCGAGCCCGCAGTCCCCGAGCGCGAGGCCCCGCAGCCGCCCCGCCCACGCCGAGCGCGACACGGCCGCGCACGCGCCCGGGCCCAGCGCGCAGCTGGCGAGGCGCAGCGACGCCAGCGACGGGAGCTCAAGGGACGCGAGCGTGGAAGCTTCCTCGGGCCCCAAGCCTCGCAAGACCAGCTCCTGCGAAATCCAATACGGAAGTGGTTGCATTTCTGGGACAGGGGTGTGAGGGCCTCGCAGCTGCCTCTGTTGAGGGACTGGCCCGAAAGCACCACAGACGACGGCCGGCAAACTGCGCCGGCAGCGGCTGAGAGGAGCCACCGCCTCGCGAGAACCAACCCCACTCAATTAGCACCAGCTCCCCTCCTGCGCGTTCAGATGCCCAAGCTGCACAAGCCGCGAGGACAGAGGCAGCGCCGAGCAAAGGGCAAGGGATGACACGGGCCGCCACGCGAACAATGAGCCCGCACACGCAGTCGCACCCGAAGCTCCTGCCACTGCCCCGCCGCCAGCGCCGGCCCCACGCCCTGCGCCCAGCTCCAAGGCAGCGCCAGCACCCGCAGGCCCGGCGCCGCCGCGGCCGCGGCGACGAGCGCGGCGGCGCAGCTGGGGTGGGAGGAGACTAAACTGACCTCCAGTCGCTCCAGCTGGGTCAGCGCCGCCACGCGAGACGCGAGCGCCGCCGCCCACGCGGGCGTGGGTATGTAGGCCGCGCCGACGCCGCGCTCCCGCACGACGAGCGAGGCGAGGCGGCCGGGGGCGCCGAGCGCGCGCAGCGCGGCGGCGAGCGCTGCGACGCATCTCTCGCCATGCTCTACTGTGAAGTCGACGGCGCGCAGCGCGGGGTAGCGGCCCACGGCCGCCGCAGCGGCGAGCGCGGCGGCCTGCAGCTCGCCGGCGAGCGCGAGCGTGCCGCAGCGCGCGTCGAGCGCGGCGCGCGCGCCACGGCAGGTGGCGCGCAGGGCGCGGGCGGCGTGGGGGCCGGCGAGGAGGGAGGCGATGGAGTCGGCCGCGAGGGGCGGGAGAGACAGCTCCGACGCCGGCGCCAGGGCCCACAGGGGTGACGGCCCTGGTCCCTCCCAGCAGGCCCACACCCAGGGTTCCTGGGTCTGCGGCGCTGCTGCACTCGCTGCCACTGCATCGCGTTGTTCCGACGGCGCCCCCGTGTGCTCGCAGTTCAAGTTGCGAGGTGTTGCCGCGCCGCCGCCAGCGTCGCCAAGGCAGCTGCGCTCTGCAGCGCACCCATCAAGCTGCATGTGGAGTACACACTCACAACTGCTCAGCAGGCTCCCCACTCAGACAACAGCGGATTGGTGAGACCAAAAGTAAGATGAAGGGCAGCGCGCCTGCACACCAATGTCAACACTTCCTATGCACGAACATTCACGTAGCTTTGATGGATTACCGTAGCTATCAATGGAGTGGTCAAACGATCTCTGCATGATTTTACGCGACGGTGCAGCGGGCGACTTGCGGGTGCGGTGCGAGCGTGCATATCACGTTTCGCCCTACTTATTCTCCTTTCAATCAACCATGTGGGTTGCACCGCTCTGGCCTGCGGCAGTGACGACACAACCGATGACGCAGGGCTACAGAAGCCGCCAGCCCGAGCTGCGTCTTGGGTGTGCGCTTGCACGCGTTGTGGCAAGGGACTGAGGATCAGCCTTGTCCACCAGCCGCAGGTTTTCAGGTGTGCAGTGCACTTGCTGCTGACGCATCAATAGGCAACTATGTGAGCAGGCGCTTGAGGTGGGCCGTACTCGTTGCTGCCCCAAAGGTGAATTGGGCGTGAGCATGACGGGAGTGCTGCCACAAGTTGTTACCGGATGCCCAGGAGTGCAGCATCAATGGTCAACACACTGACGTCAATCATAGCAGCAGGCAGGTGTGCGCCCGCTGCTTACCGTACAGTGAGTTCTTCGTACTGTATGTTGACGCGATGGCTGTAGAAGTGTCCCTTGATAGTCAAATACAAAACAGCAAACAGAAAACCAACTAAAACATCGATTTCTGCATCGGGACAAAATTTGTGCCCGGGCGTACAGTGTGCTGCGCCCGGGGGGGGGGGGGGTGGCTGCTCACCAACCAGTTGAGGGGCTGGATCAGTGCATAGGTGCACCCCTGCTACTGGTGCCCATCCTCAACAACACGCATAACACAAGGCTCGGGCCATGCGTGTGAGCTAGAAGCCCTTGCGCGGACAGGCATGAAGCCCCCAGCCGACCCCGCATCACCAGCAGAACAGGCAGGGGCCAGCTCTGAGCCCCAGGCGAGTGAGCTCAGGAGTTTGCCACCTGGCGCCTGCCTTCGCAGGGATGAACACCCACAGGTGCAAGTACGATTCACATCCGTAGACTATGGGCTGCTTTAGACTCGAGGCACAAAAGCAGTCACAGCTTGCCGCCCCGCCAATGTGGCAGTCCTGCTCAGACACAGCGGGACTGCTTGCGCTCGACTCATGCCTGGACTGGGCCACGGTGGCACCGCTCAGGCCGTTCCATTGCATAACTGTTTGGAACAATTGTGAGAAGCATGCAGGCCGCCTTGGGCTGTTGCTGGGGCTGCTGGGCGGCTGGCTGCTGCCTGTGGCGGGGCACAGTCACCGCTTAGGCGGCCGTCGGCATCTCAACGGGGTGCGCGAACCACGTTTCGCTGTGCAATTTTGAATTAGCACATATTTGCACTGAGAAGGACGGTTTACAACAGCCCACACGCCTTTCTCGAGCTCTGCTGACACCTGTATACGAGTTTGGCTCCATCGGCCAGGGACCTCACGAGGTGGTCTTCATCCACAAAACGTCAAGGAATTCGAAAATTGAGATCTGTACAATTGCAGGTTGTTGTTGCACGGCACGGCGCAGCGTGATCAGACCAGTTCTTGATCAGGCCCGAAGGGGGAGGCGGGGTCGCGGAGCTCATAGCCAAGAACAAGGCTGATATAGCCAAAGCAAACCTGGCAAGGCTCACTCTCCTCCGCAGCACGCCAGGCGCATGGCGCAGAGTTGGCACGCTTGCGCAGCACAACAGCTCGCTACTGTGCCCTGCCATATGCATGGCTGCACCCAGCGGCCGCCCTTCGGTCTGCCATGCCCTGGTTCCGTGCCATGCACACATACTGTATCCGCAGCATGCAGCACCTGCCTGATCGCTCGCCCGCTCGGCATCTCGAATGCCCCGCCCCCGTCCCCCACAGGCGCTCGACTCCGGCCCCCAGGCCGCTCGATCCCGGGCCGCCACCACAGCCGGCAGCATGGCCTCCCTAAAGGGGGGCTCCGAAGATGAGGAGCAGGGCCTGCTGTCGCAGACGCCGCCGCCGCCCAAGCCCGGCGGCGCGCGCATACTGGGCCTGCCGGCCGTGCTGGTTGCCGGCCTGGCCTACTGCGCCGCCAGCGGAAGCATGGTCATCCTAAACAAGCACGCCCTCAACCCCAAGAGCTTCGGCTTCACGGCGCCCAACGCGCTGCTCGCGTTCCAGTGCGCCCTCGCCGCCGCGCTGGTCAAGGCCTGCCACCTGGCGGGCCTGGTCAAGCTGCAGCCGCTGAAGCGCGACCTGGTGCTGATCTGGTTCCCGGTCAACCTGCTGTTCGTGGCGATGATAGGCAGCAGCTTCTACGCCCTGCAGGTGCGCAGGGCGGCGGGCAGGCGCGGGGGCCGCCATCACCGGTTCCCTGGCGCCCTGTTTTGAGGGGAGCGGGGCGACGAATGGTGCCGCTGCGCCCGGCATGCTTTTACCAACCTTGATTTTTGCGGTTGCTGCGTGGGCGGCGCAGCCGCTGTTGCTCGTCCGCCGCGTAACACCCCCGCGCCCTGCCCTGCACCGACGACGCCTGCACGCCGCGCCCCACCTGGCCACCTGCGAGGCGCGGCGTGAGGCAGGAAGTCGTCCACATGTGTGTACACACATACACACACACACACACACACACACACACCACACCACACACACATCCCCGCAGCACGTCGGCGTCGCGATGGTCACGGTCTGGAAGAACGTCAGCAACTTCGTCACCGCGGTGTGCGACGTGGTCATCTACAAAAAGTCCTACAGCCCGCAGGTCTGGGCGACGCTCGGGCTGATGCTCGTCTCGGCGATGGTCGGCGCCGCGACCGACCTGTCGTTCACGTGGCGCGGCTACATCTGGCAGATCGCAAACTGCGGGTTCACCTCCGCATACGCGCTGTACCTGCGGTCGGTGATGGACAAGGTCGCGGAGCGCACGACCAACAAGCAGAAGATGGACGAGTTCAGCATGGTGTACTACAACAACCTGCTGTCGGTGCCGCCGATCCTGGTGCTGATGGTGCTGTTCGGGGAGCACGACGGCCTGCTGCAGCAGCCGGCGCTGCAGAATCCCATGTTCCTGGCGGTGGCGCTGCTGGGCGGCCTGATTGGGTTTGGGATCAGCTTCAGCGCGCTGTGGTTCCTGAGCCAGACGACGGCCACGATCTACAGCCTCGTGGGGGCGCTCAACAAGGTGGGCCCGGGGGGAGGGGGGCAAGGGGGCGGCAGCGGGGAAGGGGGGGAGAGGGGGGGACGCCAGAGGGGTGGGCGGCGGGGCTCTGAGCGGATCTGAGGGGTTTCATCGGTACAGGGCGTTGAGCATGGGATGAGGGCCCCTGCATCCACCTTCAACATCAGCCGCTACTACATGCCAACCCCATCATGGAAACA